CTCTCTCTCTCTCTCTCTCTCTCTCTCTCTCTCTCTCTCTCTCTCTCTCTCCCTCTATCACTCTCTCTTAAAAAAAAAAGTTGGTTCTTTTTTTAATGAATTAATGATTATACACTAGCCAATATTTATTAAATACTATGAGTCTAAGTACAACTATTTAGACATTTAATCTTCCTATCTATGATATAGATAGATAGCTATTTATAAATTAGAAATTTTTAAAATAATATTTTTATTGATGCAGTTTAATTATACACTATACATTGGGATTCATTACACCATATTCATACATGCATAATTGGACAATCTCATACCTCAGTACTTGCCTTTCATTTCCCTCCTCTTCCCCAATTTGCTTGCTGTACTATACTGATCTTCCTTCTATTTTTATTTTTTAGTTAGTGCTTGATAATTATTTAAACAGGCAGGACTCATAATGATATGTTCATACATGGACCCCAGTACTTCCCAGTACCCCCCTCTCAATCCCCTTCCTCTACTCTATTGAGTCTCCCTTCTGTTTTCATTAGATCACTTTTTAAAAATTGTTTCCTTCCCCGTACCTCCCCCTCTCTGGTTTTCACATAGGAGAGAACACATTTGACCTTTGACTTTTTTTTTTTTAAGTCTGGCTTATTTTGCTTAGCATTATGTTCTTCACTTCTATCCAGCAAATGACAATTTCATTTTTCTTCATGGCTGAATAAAACTCCATTGTGTATACATACCACATTTTCTTTATCTGTTGATCTGTTGACATGTACCTCTGCTGTTCCACAAGTTGGTTCTTTGAAAAGATCAGCAAAATTGGGAAACTTCAGTTGACTAGACTATACATGAAAAGCAAAGAACCTAGAGCACTCAGAACAATAAAGAGAAGAACAAAGTTGGAGGACTTACACTAGCTGATTTCCACACTAACAGTAATTAAGACAAATACAGGTTTTTAAGAAATGATGCTGGAAAATTAAATATTCACATGCTAAAACCAAAATGAATTCGCACCTTTACTTCATACCATATGCAAAAATTGACACAAAGTAGTTCATAGACCTATTTATAAGAGCTAAAATTATAAAAATTATAGAAGAAAATAAAAAATCTTATGACCTTCCTTGGGTTAAATAAAAGTTAATTATATATGATACCAAAAGCATGATCCATAAAAGGAAAATTTTATAAAATAGACTTTATTAAAATTAAAAACTTGCACACTTCAAAAGACCATTAAGAAAATGAAAAGTCACAGACAGGGAGAAAATATTTGCAAATCATGTACTTGTATTCAGAATATATAAAGAACTCTTTTTTAAAATTTGTCCTAATTAGTTATGTGATGCAAAATCACACCAGTTGTGCAATCATACATGTACATAGAGAATAATGGCTGATTCATTTCACAATCTTTCCCCTCCAACCCCTCTTTCCCTCCCCTCACTCTCTTCTGCCCAATCCAAATTTCAAAGTTCCTTCATTCTTCATGAGCGCCCCCAGCCATTATGGATCAGCACCCACATATATATCAGGAAAAACACTCAGTCTTTGGTTTTTGGGGATTGGCTTATTTTGCTTAGCCTGATATTCTCCAGCTCCATCCATTTCCCTGCAAATGTCATAATTTCATTCTTAGAATATATAAAAAACTGTTGAAACCCAATAAGACTATGGCATTTATAGGTGTGACTTATCATTATGTACAGCCAGAGGAATGAGAAGTTGTGCTCCATTTGTGTACAAATCCATTATACTGTCATGTATAACTAACTAGGAGAGAGAGAGAGAGAGAGAGAGAGAGAGAGAGAGAGAGTGAGTTGATATTTCACCAGGAAAACTGTGTGAATGCCCAATAAGGGCATGAAAAGATGCCCAATATTATTAGTCTTTAGGGAATGCAAATTAAAGCCCTAATAAGAGATCACTAATACCCACTCAAAGGGCTGTTATCAAAAAGACAGACCAAGTGTTATTGAGGTGTAGAGAAACTGGAACCCTTATACATTACTGATGGAAATGTAAATGGTATAGCCACTTTGGAAAAATCTGACAATTTTCTTTAAAAATTTGCACAAACTTTCTATGTGACCCAGCAATTCTATTCTCAGGAATGTACTCAAAAGAAATGAAAACATGTATCTACACAAAGTAATCTAATTTAATTATCCATTAAAATCCCAAACTGGAAAGTCCAGAGGTCCTTTAAATGGTGAATAGATTAACACAATTTATATCCAAACAGTGGAATACTCTTCAGAAATAAAAGTTTGCTAAGGGAAGGAATCTAACTACAAAAGGTACATATTCTATGATTCCATTTATGTGAAATGTTCAGAGAAGACATGATAGAGGCAGAAAATATACCACTGGTAGCCTAGTGCTGGGGATGGGAGTGGGAATTAACTGTAGATGGCATGAAGAAATTTTTTGGGTTATAAAGTGTCCTAAACTGGATCATATCATGGTTGACCGATTCTGAATTTACTAAAAATAGTTGAATTATATACTCTCAACAGATGAATTTTGTATTATATAGATTGTCCCTCAGTGAAGTTATTAAAACAAATAACTTTGAATGTCTCAAGGCAAATTCTTCCAGCATGCCCAGGGTCCTTATATAATTGTATATGATTACTTTTATTCTCTAATATTAACAGTACTGTTGTGTATGACATTATTAACTTATTTTATATCTGATTCTTATTTCTGAGAAATTAAAGCCATTCATTTATTGCATTGAATTATTTCATTTGAGCCAGGGTAATTTTTTTTAAAAAAAAAGTTATTTAGGGATACAAATTACCTTATTGAGACTTTAGTTACAGTTTATTCCCAGTGCACTATAGATAGGAATTGAAAAGACTTATTGTGTCTCCCAAACTTCTGAATCATGAAAGAAGTCACTGTCTGAGAGTGGAGTGCAATATTTAATTAGTGTCATTACTTTGGGAGTAGGAAATTGATCCCATCATACTATTTGAAGATGAGGGGAACATTACTCAGGGTCATGTTTCAAAACAGTTGAAAAGCTATAAGCTCAGTTCAGATATCCCATAGCCCTTCAGCTGAGGTGGTGTAGGACATAGCTCCCTTTCAAGAAAACATAGGCAGTTAGCTACATCAAGTCTATTTGTCACTGAGGTTGAATTTAGAAGTTCTCTCCTTTCATATATTTTGTTTTCCTCTGCTCTACTAGTTGGATTCCTATTACTCACTAAATCCTTCTCTTTTAGCTCTTGCAGTTCAACCCTCTGGAACGTCTGGGTGCTGGTGTTGCTGGTGTTGAAGATATCAAATCGCATCCATTTTTTACTCCTGTGGATTGGGCAGAAGTGATGAGATGAACACATGCAGGATGTTTTTTACACATTGTGATCTTCTCTGTACTAGGCATCCCCAGCACAAAAGCAGTCTCGCTCATTTATGGGGCACCAAAGCATTGGATAAAGATCTTTATTAGGAAATCAGGGGAAGAGCCGGGGTAAAAGTGATTCATTTACAGTTACCACCTGGTCAAGATATTAGCTAATTTTGTCAGTGGGTATTATATACATGCCTTTAACCAAGGTATGAATTAATTTAATCTACATTTAGGATTGCAGTGCATTGCAGACCCAACTGAAATAGGAATGTCCTTCAAGAAGTTCCTCTGATTCAAAGCTCTACATGTAGGATTTTACTTGAAAGAAGTACCTTTACATGGCAGCTAAGAATGCCTTCTGCTAACCAGATTGGTTTTTAAGACCCAATTAATATTTACTGAATAATACACTAAAAGTGCTTCATGAACAGTGTCATCTGTGGGCTTAAAAATAGGAAAAAAATTATATACGTGGAATGTCTGAAAGGGAGCTTATACCATAATGCTATATAGTTAATGCATTTGACTGTGGTCCCAGATTATTTCTGTGAGGAGAAGAGACTTCATGTTGTGAGCTTTGAACTTTGTTGGTTAATACTGCTCATTAGAGAGGGTTCAGATAAACACTTCTCTCTCAACCTCATCTTCCCCTGTCTTCCCATTCCTGCACCTTTTGCTTATTCTCTCATATTCTGTTCTTCCTACTCTTTTTAACACATGTGCAACAAAAAAGGGAAGGGAGTATTTATTCCCCAAATTGTGTCAACATAATAAGAACTAAGAAATCATGATATAAAATAAATGTGATAAAAATGTAGATGTGTCCTTTATTTAATAGCTTAAGATTTAAAAACAACAACAACAACAACAACAATTTTTTCCCTGCTCCTTTCCTTTTGGAATGTTATCAGTTTCTGCTGCTTGACTCCGTTTTACTTTTTAGGTTGGTATACTATGAACCAAAGGGTCTCATCTAAATGGAATTAACGTCAATCCTGTTTTATTACTTAAAGTGATAAGATTTTTATATTTGAATTCCTGATCTGCTTGACATAATGTAGAAAGAATATTAGCATTAACACATCTCCAATCATTTTTATTTTTGTATTTGTAATTTCTTTATGTTGCTAAGATAGCTCCTGTAGTCATGCCCTTTTTACAAAAATTCATACATATTAATATGTTTTTTAAACTTTATCAAAAGAAGAAAGAGTAAGGTACTCTTTCTAAGATAGAAGCCACCAGAAATAATTAAAATTTTCTTCTTCTTCTTTTTTTTTTCTTTTTTTGCAATGCTGGGAGTCAAAACCAGGATCTCACACATGCTAGGAAGGCATTTTACCACTGAGCTACATCCCCAGCCCCTGAAATTCTGTTTTTTTAATCTTTATAATTTTGAGATCTGTGTGAGAGCCCAGTACTCCTCCAAGAACATCTGCACAGCATCCATCTGCCATCAACCAGGTCCTCCCATCAAATTAAATGGAAGCAGAAAATGCTTTAATGAAACAAAGGAAATGTGCAAGCACTTTTTCTTTTTCTCTTATCCTACTCCCCTTTTTCCTTTTTGGTCCCCTTATAACCTGAATCCCAGCTGAAGGGCTGCAACAACACCAGGTTGGGGAGCAGGTCACCAGGATCATAGCTCACTCAAGATGACATCACTCCCTGGAACTGCATTTCAACTCACCAGTCCCCTGGCCTCATAACAGGAACTCATGCAGGTGAGACCCAAGAGTGACTTCCTGTATAAGACTAGTAGGAAATGTGCATGTACTTAGAGCTGGCTATTACAGAACTTCCTTCCAGAAGTGCCCTATGACATAAAAGTAGGACTTCACAGTTGAGGTGAAGATCCCTGCCCTACCACAGGATCCGGGACCCTGAATTCAAAGTATAGTTATGTCCACAGATGGTTGCTGTGTCAATCTGCTGACACATCCATTGCTACAATTTCTCACCCTCTTTTCTCTCTGTATGTTTGATTGGAGCTTCATCATACTGGACATGAATCATTTTAGTAGTGAGCACAGGATAAATGACTGTGGAATGAAAGCCAAACTTTTTTTTAAATTTGATGATATATACATATTTTAAGCTGTAATGGTATGAGTGATACTGGTGGCTTCTGTTTTTTGTTGTTGTTTATGTGTTTTATTTGCTTGTGCGTGGGAGTGGAATATGGGTCAAAATCATGACAGAAATTACTATTTAGTATTTCTCATCTGATTTTTTATTAAAATAATGGATGTAATAACATTCACCATTTTACCTGTTTTTAATTGTATGATTCAGTAGTAGCATTAAGCACATTCACATTTTTTTTTTCTTTTGTTACTGGTTGAACCCAGTTCCCAAACCACTTAACCACTGAGTAGTATCCCCAATCTTTTTTTATATTTTGTTTAGAGACAGGGTCGTGTTGAGTTCTTAGAACCTTGCTAAGTTGCTAAGGCTGGTTTTGAACTCATGATGCTCCTGCCTCAGCCTTTAGGGCTGCTGGAATTATACTTGTGTGCCACTCACTGCACCTGGGCACCTGGCTACTTTCACATTTTTATGCAAACATCACAGCTATATTTACAGAACTTTTTTTATCATCCCAAACTGAAACTCTGTGTCCACTACACCATAACTTCCCATTCTCCTCTCCCAGCTCCTAATAACCACCCTTCTTCTGTCTCTTTGAATTTGATTATTCTAGGTCCTTCCTGTAAGTGGAATCATAACACTTGTTCTTTGTATACAATTTTCAAAATTTATTCATTCTGTAACCTGTAACAGAATTTTCTTCCTTTTTAAGCTTGAATCGTACTCTGTTGTATGTATATACCATGTTTTGTTTAGCCATTTGTCTATTAGTGGATCTTTGGGTTATTTTCACCTTTGGGCTCTTGTGAATAATGCTGCTGTGAACATGGATTTACAAATGTCTGTTTGAGTCTCTGCTCTCTCATTTGATTTTATATTTTTACATGAAATTACCAATGTCACTGACTGTTATTTCACTATATTCTTCATAGAAGAGCTTTCCCAGACAGGTTGGCAATTACCATTATGGTACAGTGATACTTATTTTAAGATGTGATGTGAAAATCTACCATTTCTATTTCACAGGTGGGTAAGTTAAGCTTCCTAAGAGTAAAAACACCATTATGTTAGCAGTTTGCTTTAACTGTGACAGGAGTTAATATTATTGAAGACAACAGTCTCTTTAACTTATTTTTTTACAATAGCAATTCTTTTTGAAAGTTTCATTTTATTTTTGATGTCTAATCATTATATATACTGATGGAGTACAATGTGATGTATTGTGGAATGATCAGATTATTAATGAACATCTATCACCTCACAATTATTTCTTTGTGGTGAGCACATTTTAAATATATTCTTAGTGGTTTTGAAATATTCATTGGTATTTACTATAGTCACCATGCTGTGCGATAAATGAACATATTCCTTCTGTTTAGCTGAAACTTTGTGCCTTTGTCCAGTGTCTCCCCTTGGCCTGTCCAGCCTCTCCTTCTGGTAACCAACACTCTGCTTTCTACTTCTGTGAATTAATTGAACCCTTGATAATATATTCAAACCTTTGTTTTAAACAGCTATGATTCCTGTTGTGTTTTTACTCTCAGACTTTTCCTATCCTGTTTCAGAGTCAGTGGGAACCAAGATTGAGTTTTGCTTTCATGCAGTGCAGGTACTAAATAATATAAAATTTATAGATAACACTCACGTATGGCAAGTAAAGGAACACTGTGTTAGTCCCCGTAGGTAGTATGCCTTGGTTCAGTTCACTTTCTCAGATGTTAGGAATACAGAAAGAAGTCTGACCGAAAGGCTTTTTGCCTTCCAAGGGGCCCTTATGGCATCTTCATTAGACTTACTTGGGAATTACTTCATAGTGAGGCCAAAGACTAAGACTGATCATATTTCTTCCTTAGAGGAGTTGATTTAACCTTTGATATATCTAAATGTGGTGGGTAATGGAGCCTGGTATTTCAAGCTCTTTCTTGGAGGATTATGGAATATAATAGAGAGTTCTCTAGTGGTGCCCTGGTCATGTCTCTGTGACTAATTAGCCTTATAACCTTATTCAAATCACACTATATTCTGGACCTGTTCTCTCACCTGTAGAATAAAAGGGTAGGTGAGTTCTGAGCTCTACAAGTATCTGATGGAATTTCTGTTTTTCAGAGTGAACTAATACTATAAACCAACATTGTAGAAAACAAGGTTAATGAAAATCTTAAATTGGTACTTAACAGTTTTCTTATAATTATTTTTCTAGTAATCTCAGAGGCTTGGGCTATTGCCATAAATCTGCTCAGTAGCATAGCCCTTGGGGGTTATGTGGCTATAAAAATTATAAATAGGGTGGCATTTTAGGAGGTTATTTCTCCGTCAGCTCTACACTGGGAAAGGAGAGTTGAAGGTCCAGATAGGAGTACGTGAGGGTGAAAGGAGGCCAGGGCACACCTACATTTGCTCACTTCTTGGACCTTTCTCAATAACCGTGGTGGTATTTCTACCCCTGTTGCCCTCATCTATCATATTTTATGTGTTTATTTGACTCAGTCCTTTGGCAGGCATATTCAGAGTACAAAATTGATACTTTCTGTTGCTATTTAATGCAGGACATTAACCTCTACCAGTCTAGGTAATTTGGAGTTTTGAGTATTTGATGTCTACTCAGCTCATTTGAAGGATTTCATCTTAAGCCCTCATATTGAAGGGTTACTGAATGGCAAAAGTCGTCAAGTCAGCTCTTTCTAAATAAAGTTGTAAACATAACAGCAGGAGGGAAGTGGGAACCAGAGTCCTTCAGGTTTTTGTGATTTGGCATCACTTATTCTCTCAAAAACAGTAAATAGGAAACCAGAGAACAAGCTTCCTTTTTGGTAAGATTTCCAATTGGGTGATATGTAGTCAGATGGTATGACCTTACCTTTGGGTTCCTGTCATATGACTTCTTCCCTTAATGGAGGAATCTCATCTAAAGGAGAAGTAGAGGAGAGAAAATTTGCAGAGGTATAAGAGAGAAAGTCACTTGAGTGAGGCGGTTCAGGGAAATGGAGCAGAGCATGTGTCCCATGCTTTGGCCTAAGTGTCTGGATCAAGAAACTGCCTTCTTTGTTCAGCTGGTTTAAAGTTGCTCCTTTTTCAGGAAGAGGTAGGCAGAGACTGAAACTATTTCCATTAGCCCAGGAAGAGATGGACGGCCTGCCTTTGGAAAGGATGCTGGTCTAGAGTCAGCTCTGTCTCCTTGCTGAAGGCAGCTGTCGAGACTGGTCGTGAAAGGAGAGGCCAGAGAGTGTCTGAAGGAGGGTACTGTGGTTTCTTTGGGGCGGGAATGCCTCTTACTGCATGTGGCAAATAAGAACAACAAATAAACCAGCTTTGGGGTACACTTAGAATTGCTGGTATCCCGTTCTTCTAAATCTGAAAATTTTTGCATATCACAAAGTTAACTCATGGCCTGGAGGCACATGCCTATAATCTGAGAGACTCAGGAGGCTGAGGCAAGAGCATCACAAGTTCAAGGTCAGCCTCAACAAGTTAGTGAAATTCTTTCTCAAAATAAAAAATAAAAAGGATTGGGTCAGAGGTAGAGCACCTCTGAGTTTAATTTCTAGTACTGGGGGGAAAAAAGTTAACTCTTGTAGGAATATTGATCAAATTCTTCTAAAGCTTAGGTATTTAGTAGTATTAAGAATTCAGAAGTCAGAAGTTTGATCACCCCACCCAAAGAGTATCAACAGGGACAGTGAAGGGATTCTTTTAGACCTGTAATGACCGAAATGTGATATTGTCCTGGTCACATAGGGGATGTATATAAAAAAAGGAGGTTTGGTGTTGGCAAAACATTAAAAAAGTTATACAACACTTTGGTTTCTCAGGATCGTTCTAGAAAGAAAATGCTTTAGATATTTGAAGGATCTGTTTTTAGTATAAAGATTCTGAATGACTAAGAAAACTTTAAAACTGGACTCTTCCCCTTATAATGAGCTCCTTCTGCTCTTATTTCTTCTTCCTCCCTTCATCTCCGCTTCATCTGTCCCTCTCGCCCCATTATGAGCTTATCTGGTCACTGAACAAAAGACATGGTACCTGCCTTCAAGGACCTTGTAAAACACAGGGGGAAGAGAGAAGCATAAATAACAAGTAGGGCAGAATGTGGTAGGGTTATAAGGAGCATTAGAAAAGAGAGATCTGAGGAGCTGCAGGAAGCATTCCTGTAGTGGAGCAGGACCTTGAAGTGTAAATAGGATTTTTAAATATAAGGTGTTTTTTTGTGTTTTTTTTTTCCCCTGTGTTTTGTTTGGGAAGAGGAAAGTTTCCAGGGGGACACAACAACAAAAACAATTGCATACAAAGACAGGGAGATAGGAAAAGGGAAAGCTGTGGGGATTCTGTTTTGGCTAGGTTGTAGGTGTATGAATTTGAAAGGTAGGTTGGGGCCAGGTTAAATGCCATGCTGAGACATTGGGACTTCATTCTCTAGGTTGTGGGGAACTAGAGAAGGTTTTTAGCTGGCATTATTACAGCCTGCTGTTGAAAAGATAATTTTAGGGTTAGAATGAAGAATAAATTGGAAGGAAAGAGATTAGAGACAGAGCGGTTAGGAGTTATTGCAGAAATTCAGGCAAGAGATAAAGCCTGAGTGAGGTGCTGGAATATAAAAGAGGGGGTCCATAATCACCCTCTTGTCTGTTTCTCTCAAGTGTGCAGAGTCGAGTTTCCCTATCAAATAATTGCTTTCCTTTTTTCTTGAAACCAGTTTATACCAGGAGATTATGGGTTGTTGTTTGTAGACTCACTCCCAAAGAATCACCAGGGACAAAATCCAGGAGAGTTTATGTCCTTCCCCCCTGATTGCTAATGATATTCACTGTGCACAGATTCAGACTCCTGGGGCCCAGCTCACTCCCTTTCATCATATTATGGTACTTCTCACATTTTACTTTTAAGTTTTTGGCATTGCTGGGCATTGACCCAGGGCCTTCTGTATGCTAGGCAAGTGCTCTACCATTGAGTGACATTCCCAGATCTCACATTTTGCTTTTAAATCATTGGTTTGCTTTCTATTTGGATAGTGTTCTGAACTTTGCTCTTAGAAGACATTAAGTCTTGCTGTCTGTCTTCTCTTTTGGTATCAGACCCCTTGCATATAATTAGTGTTTCTCAAAAAGAGATTTCCAATCTGGATCAAGGAAATGATTTTTAACCCTCTTGGAACTTTTTGGGGTGTGTGTGTGTGTGTGTGTGTGTGTGTGTGTGTGTGTGTGTGTTTTAATTTTTTTGGAATCAGGGGTCAAACCCAGGGAACTTTAAGTTTTACAAAAATGAAAAAAAAAAATCCCTAGACTCCCACCATCATCCCCATTATATGGGAATGAATTAGAAATGCAAGCTTCTATCTTCATACCAATCCTACTGAATTAGATCTCTGAGGGCTGTCATGGTAATCTATTTTATAAGCCCTCCAGGTGATTCTGATACATGTTCAAATTTGAGAACCACTGGTTTAGTTTAACTTGAGCATATTGCCTCTGCATGGATTAATTTCCCTCTCTGTGGCTTGTGTTTTGAATTTGAAGACATTCCCAACACTTAATGTAATTCCTGGGAGACTGGCCCTGGGAGCCCTTGTTTCAATGGGAAAGGTCAATTGATAGAAGATTAGGAATAAAGACAAGGAAGAAGGGAAAAGGCAAAAGGAGCAGGCAATTGGATAAAGAGAAAATTGGTGGAGTGGGGTGGATCCGTTTCCTAAAGAGACCCAGCCATGACAATCATAGTCACCTTCAGAGACAGATTCTATTGTCTCTGGTCCTTTCTCCCCACCCCACCCCCTTTGGTGATAGGTGGCATAAATATCAAATTAAAATGATAATTCTCTTGCTTACTTGTATATTGTGGTGTTTTTGGTTTTTCTCAAGCAAAGTTGCAGTTAAAATTCAGTGTTTAAGTCGCTGCATTGTTCAAAATCAGAATGCAAAAACTCAAAACCAAGTTTGGGAAAGATACCAGAATGTTCTTATTGGATTCTGACAGTGTAGCATTGACTACTGTGTTTTCTTTAGAATTGGAGGACTCAACTGGTGATGCTTTTTGGAGAAGCTTGGTTTTTACCTTTTGCAAATGACATCAAGCTTCACAGTAGTCAAGTGAAATTAGATGTTCCCTGAAGGTTAAGTGTGGGGGGCAGGGTGAGGGGAATATGGCTGATTCATTATTTCATTTTAAGAATCTTTTGTATTAGAATATTAGCTGACATTGTCAATAAAGTGTATTTTGATCAAGTATATATTTGACTTCTCAATAAGCACCTGCATAATGTTCAGATAATTCTGTTTTCAATAGGTAGGATTTTATTGTCTGCAGTTGATTTGATTCTGTGCTGGGTCTGGACTCAGCCTCAGTGGTAATGTGTCCTTTCTTTAAAAAAAAAAAATGCCAGTATAACCTAATCCACCTTAGATAGGATATGCTTTGTTTTATCCAGTGATGGGCAGAGCTTCTCTGTAAGTGCTCCCCCAACCACACCCTGTTTATAAACAGAGGCACACCAGTTATGTCCAGTTAGGGGATATGGTCTCA